ATTGTGCAATTGTACTACTGCCTTCTTGGCCAGGACACTCTTGGAAAAATAGTTTTTCTGGTTTAATAAAGGTTTAATAAAACAATTTAAAATCTAAAACTGTACCAGAATATAATGCAGAGCAGCTCTCAGGCATTCTGGGTTGCTTTCAGATATGTTTCTCCTGTAGATCAACTTTAATATCATCACTGCTGAATCAACACACATGCAGGCGTGACTGATTGTGGTAACCACTTTAAATGTACACGTGGCACCTTTTTACGTCATCAATAATAAATAAAATAATTTTAATACAGTTAGAAACTCCTGGACTTTAATAGCTTCTGTGTTTCAGCAGGTTTCTCATGTTCAAAGTTCTGCAAATTCAGAATCTAACTGGGTTCTCTGACATTTCCAGAATAAAGGATATTTTGAGAGGTCAAACAGGATAAATCATAATAAACTTTGTAATCAATCCACCTGCATGCTGCACCGTGTGGAAGGGATCCATGCCACGGATTCTGCAACCTGTTGCACCACTACTATCCATGGTAGTGTGGGGATTTAATTCTTCATGTTTTGTTGTGCAGGATCACAGTCCCTATGTGTCCACATGAGGAAAGGTCAAGATAGGCTATCAGAGTAAAAATGTCTAGACTAGGCAACTTGATGAGTTTATTTTTTTAATCAGACCATTAAAATATTCCTTTTTAAATCTCCATAAAGGTGTTTATAAGATCACTTTAAAATATCACGTTTGCTGCAGCCAACTTTTGTTACCTGTGCCTTTTATTAGGGAGATGTAGCTCTCTCTCTCTCTCTCTCTCTCTCTCTCTCTCTCTCTCTCTCTCCATCTGAAAAGTTAAACAGCTGGTAGCTGCTGAGTGAAAGATTACTTTCACCGGCGACATTATGGACTCACAGTCGGCCATCGTTATAAAACAGATAGTAACCGATGTGTATTAAAGAAAAGAAACGGGCTAATGTCCAAAGCGATGCTCTGTTCAACAACAAGACACTTTTAATAAATCTCAATCAATGCAGTGATCGTCTGACATAGATGTTACAGTGTGTAGTCTTCATTTGCCCTGCAGAGACCAAGACGCTTTTAATGCGCCCTTAATGGGAAGTGAAAGTATTTCACTTGCTGGCTCGTGATAGAGCGACGCAGGCTGCAGTGCCATGGTATGCACTCACTAGATTTCAGTTGTATTAGTAGAACATAAAGCTTAAACTGAAAAGATATTTGCCAGATTTTCTAAATGTTTGCCCAAATCTGCCCAGCTCTGTGACTGTGACAAGCGCCCGACCAGCGCTTTACTGCATAACTGCGCACACAGCCTGGATGAGCTCATTTCGGTTAATGAAGCTGGTGAAGTTATAAAAGGTATGAATGGAAAATGTAGTGAAATTAAAAGTAGGCCTACATTAGATGCACCCACCCCTGCTGCAGACTCATCACTGCTGCCTTCAGCTAGAAGTAAAAGCAGCACAAAAGAAAAGCTGTACCGGCCTCGAGCAACATTTCTATACATTTTGTCTGCAACTGATGTGAAGTGCGTGAGTGATTGACTCACACACTCCACTTAGTCACACACCTTAGTAAACCTCCTATATGAGCCAGCTCCGAAGTCGCCTGGGCCAGGAAGGTTATGTGAAATAAAACTTTACATTAGGAAAGGGGGGGGGGGGGGGGGGACAAAACATAGATTTTGAAATGAAATATGTATAATGCCTCCTCTGCCTATCAGGTGATTAACCTCACCACAAATCCACACAAGTTAATTTCAGCACCTCTGATAAAGTGCAGCTCACAGCTTCAGGTGGAACAGAGCGGACAGACACAGAGCTACAGCTGGATCATCTTATTCTCCTGCTAATTTGCAGGAGAATGAATGAGAATGAATAATAACAATAACAATGTTTCGGCCTTTTGTTGTTTGATTTTTAAAAAACGATCCGAGATCCGGGGCTTTTCAAAAACATCCGGGGCTAACGCGCGCTGCAGAGATCTTAGACTCAGAATGATCTGACTACCCCCATTGTCAGCAAGTGTCACCTGGAGATTTGTTGTCACCTGGAACTAGTGTTGTAGTACTCGAGACCACTTTTTGATGGTCTTGGCCTCGTCTCGGACTCGACCGCCTTTGTACTCGGTCTTGTCTCGGTATCGGACATTGAGGACTCTGGATTTTATTAACCCTGTGATGCTTACATTGATTTCAGCTCTTACTGTTTGTATGTGGGTGTTTTAATGGGAATGTGGATCTTTCAGATCACTTTGAGAAGTACCTATGATCTCGTTCCACAATTTATTGCATGCCATGCAATGCAGGGAACTGGTCTTCGTCTTATCCTCCCTCGGTCTTGGTCTCGACTGCTCTCAGCCCCTAAAAGTCTTGGTCTTGTCTCGGTCTCGATAAACTCTGGTCTTGGTCTTGACTTGGTCTCGGTTTGGGCGGTCTTGACTACAACACTAGCTGGAACTTCAGATCTCCAGAGTAGGTTGTTGAAGAAAAATATTGTAAGCCAGGTTCAGGTGTGAAGAAGTTTCGGAGACTGATGAAGACTTAACATAGCAGTGTTTATTGAGCCCGGCCGAGGAGACACAGTGCCAGCATACAACACCAAATCTGAATCTATGTTGTTCCTCAAATGTAAGTCGCTTTGGATAAAAGCGTCTGCCAAATGAGTAAATGTAAATGTAATGTAAATTGAAGGATCTTTGTCTTCCCCCTAGTGCCCGTAGGTTTTTCTATTAGGTCATCTTTAGCTGGCTTTAACCTAAAACAACAAATCTATCTGATGTTTAGACTCTCTCACTATCCATGAGTTGTACTCTAATCTGTGGAGCCAGTTAGTTCTTGTAAACATTCTTGTAAGATTTCCTATATCTGCTAGCCTGACGCCTGGGCTGCTGTCTCTAACTAATTCCTGTATGTCCTCCAACCAAGTCCAGTTTCCCTTGTCATTTCCCTTGAAACCAGTACGTCCACCAATCTGGAAAATTCGCGATTAATTCTGCAAGATAGTCTTAAACTTAAACTTATAAGAAGGCCAGAGCAGCGTACTACTCATCATTAATAGGGACAATAGGAACAACCCCAGGTTTCTTTTCAGCACTGTAGCCAGGCTGACAGAGAGTCACAGCTCTATTGAGCCAAGTATTCCCATAGCTCTCAGTAGTAATGACTTCATGAGCTTCTTTAATGATAAAATTATAACTTATAGAAACAAAATTCACTAAGACCTGCCCTCAACTAGCACTGACTTATCTCTAAACTCAGATATATGTTTAGACTGCTTTGCTTCCATCAATCTTTACCCATTTCTTCATCTAAACCATC